GCGTACTTGCCCGCTGGGTCCTAGAGCCCGGCACTGGCTCCACTGATCGCCCCCTCTAGACCCCATTTTTTCAGGATTCAGAGGGGGATCCCCCACTTTTGATCTGAGCTGTTGGTCTCTGATGATGTGAAGAGGGAACAGGGATAGGACCTGGTCTCCGGGTTCTAAAGAGAAGGTGGTCCAAGGTTTGGGCTCCAAATGGGAGGGGCTGGGTGCCCGGCAGGGTTCGAAAAGGGGTGGGGCGAGAAGGAAGCGTTTGCGAGGGAGCGGGGTCTGAGAGCCTGAGTAAGGAGGAGGTTTGGATATTGGAGGAACCGATAGGATGCATTACGGTAAGTACAGGTGGCTGGGACTTCGGAGGACAGACAGGGTCTTGGAAAGAGATGCTGCCAGGACCCAAGCCGGAGGAGCTGAGAGATACATTTCTTTAGAGGCAAGGCAGAGGAGACACTCAAAGGGAGGAGCTACATAGCTGGGTTCGCAATGGGCGGGGATGAGGGAGGGGCTTAATGGAGAGGGCGGAGCATTGTCAACGGGCGTGGCCTCAGAGACAGTTCGAAAGGGGTGGGGCTTAGGTCGAAGTACTCCGGACGGGAGAAGAGCACCCGGAGTAGATTCCAAGGGGAGATGCCAGGTTCGCCAGGCCGCGCTCAAGCTAACTCAAAGAAGGGTGGGGCCTCGAGCTCTGGGCGGGGCCAGGATCTCGGGGGTCGCCCTCGCTGTCTCGCCCACTTGCCTTCACCCGCGCCCCCGTTCTTTTCGGTTATTTTCTGCTACAGCAGTTCCCCGCCCTGCCCTGGGCCCACGGGGCCGCGGTCTGAACTTTGGTCGGCTGGAGGAATTGGTGAGTGGGGTCTTCTGAGAGGAGGAGCCCGGGCGGAGCTTGAAGAAAGGGGTGGAGCCTAAGTGCTGAGACCCGTGTTAGAAGCCGAGCGGGAAAAGTTTAGGCTTGAGGATTTGCTGCTGCCTGAGAAGAGGGAGGGACCAAATGATCGACAAAGAGAGAGGTTGGATGATCGGAGGGTTAGGACTGAGGGTCTAATGGACCAGCTTGACCACCACAGTACCTGTTCTTTGTTGGGGAGGGGCGGGCCTGACCTGGGTGGAGAAGGGAATGGATGAGGACAGATTCCCTATTGGCTGTGGGACCAGAGGATGGGGCGGGGCCTAAGGTTCAGGGTCCGGGTTAGAGTGTAGGGAAAGAAGCCTGAATTCCTTGTTAGCTACTAGGGCACAACCATCATTATCGGTGTGACTTGACACTAATAGAAAAGCTGGAAAGAACTGACCCTTAAAACCTGGAGATCCTGGGCGTGGCCGAAGTGTTGGGCATGTAATCTAAACAGCCTTGGGGGTCACGGTTGGTTAGGACATTAAGAAGTTGGATTCTAAAAAATAAGAACCGCAGCTTGAAGGAGCCATGGGAAAGTGGGCGTCACCTTGAAGACTCGGAACAGGCGACTTGAGACAAGGGCTTAGAAGATATTGGGCGGCGGGGACAGACCAATGCAGCTAATACGTCCAGAAAAGCCTGAGACGTGGGGTCCCTGCAGTACCTGCCGACTGACTGGTGCAAGTTTTATTTTTTTAACTACAGTCCTCGACCTCCGTCGAAAATGGGGAACGTGCAGTCGGAGTCGTCCGCGGGCGGGGGCTCCCGAAAAGAGCAGGCCTCAGACCGCGCCTCCAACTCCCGCAGGATGTCTCTGGTGGAGCCTGAGGTGACCCCCTCCTCCCCAGCCGTGCGCTTGGCTCGAGGGCTGGGCGTCTGGTCTCCTGGCAGTTCCGGGCCCCCGGGACTCCTGATACCTCCGGAGTCCCAGGCCTCATCCTCGCCCCTGCCCCTGACCTTAGAACTGCCCTCGCCAGGGACACCACCCCTTCCAGAGGAGGCGGCTGCGGCTTCGGTCTCCACACCACCCCCGCCTCCCGTGGGGACCCTGCTGCCCGCGCCGTCTAAGTGGCGAAAACCCACGGGCACCGCGGTACCTCGGATCCGCGGCCTGTTGGAAGCGAGCCATCACGGTCAGGGGGACCCTCCGAGCCTCCACCCGCTGCCACCGCTGCCCAGGCAACTGCCCGAAAAAGATCCAGTCCCGAGGGCCCCAGCTCCACTTCCGACGCCCCTGGAGCCACGGAAGCCGCTGCCTCCACCACCTCCTGACCCGAAGCCCCCGAGCCGCAGAATCACTCTGGCTGCATCCACCACAAGCCGGGTAGAAAGCCAGGTCAGACACAGCAGCGAGGGTCCGGCAGCAGGGGGAGCCCGCGCAGAAGCACCTCCCCAAGCCGGAGGAGGCGAAATGGCCCGGTCTGCTACTTCTGAGTCCGGCCTGAGCCTGCTGTGTAAAGTCACCTTCGAGTCGGGGCCCCACGTATCCCCAGCGGCAGCCTCGGGGTCCTTAGGGGCCAAAGCCACGCTTGGGGGCAGTGGAAGTGGAGGACTGTTCGCTGCCTCGGGTGGTTTCTCTTATGCTGAGGTCCTGAAGCAGGGACCCCAACCTCCTGGAGCCACTCGTCCCCTGGGAGAGGTCCCTTGTACGGCACAGGAAACCGAGGGCGGTGATGGAGATGGTGAAGGGTGTTCTGGTCCCCCTTCGGCGCCTGCGCCCCACGCCAGGCCTCTACCGCCCCCCTACACCACCTTCCCAGGCTCAAAGCCCAAATTCGACTGGGTGAGCCCTCCCGATGGCACCGAACGCCACTTCCGTTTTAACGGGGCTGCTGGGGGAATTGGGGCGCCCCGACGGCGTGCGGCCGGGCTCTCTGGGCCCTGTGGATCCCCTCCACCCAGGTCTGGGCCAATGCATCCAGCTCCTGGGCCCCAAAAGCCTGCACCTGCCTTGCTGGCGCCACCTATGTTCATCTTTCCGGCGCCCACCAATGGTGAGCCTGTGCGTCCGCAACAGCCGATACCTCCGTTGCCACCGCCACCAGCTACGCCACCGCCAGCACCGCCGCCCACATCCCAGCCGCCAGCGGTACCCCAGACGCTGCTGCTGGTGGCCCGCCCGCCTACCCCAGGCCGTGGCCAAGTGCAGTCAGCCTTGGCTCCCGCCCCTCCCCCTACTCTGCCCCCGACTTTGGCTGCAGAGCCGGCCCCCTCACCAGCCCCAGCCGCATCCCCAGCTCCAGCAACCACCACCGCTGAGCAGTCCGTGCCTGCGCCTCAGCCCATCAAGACTCGTACACGCAGGAACAAGGGTCAGCGCGCAGCCCGGGGTGTGACCCGTGAAGACAGGACTCCGGGAGATGGTCCACAAGTACCGACTACAACTACCGTGCCTAACAGCGACAGTGGAGGAGGTGGAGCCAGCAGACCCTCTACCACACGGGCAGCCAACAAGGGCTCAGTGTGCCACTGGCCACCTTTCGAGGTGCTTAATTCTTGTCCCTGCAAGTGCTACTGCCATCATCAGCCAGACCATCGTCGCCTGCCACGCAACGTGTCTGCCTGGTAGGGAGCAGAGGGCATCTGTACCCAATTTCCCTTGACAACTTGACCCTTGACTTTCCTATCTACTTCTCCACCTAGCTGAGCTCTAGTCATTCAAGGCTCCAGGAGCCTTGACCCCATACTGGCCCTTAGCCCAGCTTCTTGCTCTCTTGTAGCCATGAGGAAAGAAAGCTGGTTCCTGCCTTCAACAGGTTCCTCAGGGCACCAAGAACCATGTTCTTCACACATAGGGGATAGAAGACTATCTTTATGAACTCAGGGGTGGGGTAGAGGGCCCCAACTTTCCTGGACTAGGAATCCCCAGCCTTTGGAAATGCTTCCTTCCCACTCTGGGACCCAAGGCTTTGGCCACTAGAGGGCAGAGGCCTGGGTCTTGGGGGTGCAAAAGCTATACTCCCCAGCCCCCAAGCCTCCACTCCCTATACCAAGCTTCAGGATAGGGTTGCCAGATCTAACCCTGGTTTCCTATGGCTTCCCACTCTGCCCTGGAGCCCTATCACCAACCATCACCCTCTTTCCTATTCTGTGTAGACATCCCCATACCCTAAACTGCCCTTGGGCTCTTCGGACAGCTTTCTGGGTTGTCGTTATGCCTGTAGGATAAAGAAGCCCCAGAAAGGATACATAGCAGAGCCTGTCGAATTCTTCCTTCCCAGGCTGAGAACACCTACCAACCACCTGAGCGAGCCACCCTGGGTTGCCACCATCAAGTTGGCTGGCTCCTTAGTAGCTGGACTGGAACACTACGACTTGCAGGCCACTCATTCCAACTGAGTGCAGTCTGCCCAATGCCCTCTGCCTCACCTCCCTTGCCAATAAAGTACCCAGTCTACACAGCTTGCCTAGCTGCCTATCACCACTGGGGGCTGAGGAGCACAGCTGGGAAGGCCAGGCCCCATCAAAACAAATCCTACACACTGCAGGCCCCAAGGTCAGAGACCATATTGAAGAAGTACAATCCTTCATGGTTTACAGTAAGGACAATGACTGGACTTTCTTGAAAACCCCAAACCCCAAGGATGGCTCAGCCAGGCTTAAACTTGGCCCATTAGGCAGCTTCCCAAGAATTTTAAAGCAGGAAACAGACTAGTGGGCCACAAGGGTCCAAGTCAGAGTTGGCTTAGGAAGGAGACTAGAGCATGCCAGTGTCTGGCTGGGCCCATACCTTTTGTCCCAGAGGGATCACACTGGAAGCTCACAAAGTCAATTATATGTGTCACTTTAAAGTTATTTAATTCATTGCCAACATTTTTTAAAAACTGAGACACACTCTTCAATGAAATCTGGTGCCCTGGCCCAGAGCCACAATGTGTCCACAGATGGCTAGAAGAGCCCTCTACCTGGGCTTGTGTTCTCCCATGGACCACTGGGCATCTATGCTTGAAACCCAGAGTGACAGCCACTGGATAACACCGAGGAGGGTGGTTGTCTGAAACTCCCCCAGGGCCCCAAACTCCCAAATTCTCCAGGGATAACTGTCTCCTTCCATCCCACTGGGGAAGACTAGGGCCCATAAGAAGTTATAATCCATCTTTATTGGAGGCCAGCCTAAACTGGGTTTGTTGGATAGCCAAGCCTGCCCACCCCGCCAAGGCTCAGACAATCATCTCCAGCTGCCGGGCATACTCGATGACCTGTTTGGCCAGCTCAGTGGAAGGGATGGTGGTGTCTTCTGGCTTCTGCTGCTGGCTGGCAAAGCTGTAGTAGTTGTTGGGGCCTAGGACCCAACCTCGCTGTAGGGAGAAATCAGAAATGGGTGTGTGACCAAAAGGCTACCCCCCCAACCCCATGAAGCCATTTCCCATATGCCATGGCTGCTCCTTTCTTCACTGATCACTGCCACCCAAACATCTCAAGGCAAGAAAATCTGCTCTGTGCTTCAGTTTCTCCATGTTCAAGATGGGTACCCTAATAATGCTCCTGTCTGGGTCTACTGCAAGGACTCAATCAAAAAACTTCTGGAGCAATGAAAATAGTATTTGGCCCAGAGTAAGTAACTATAGCTGTCGCCATTACTCAGTCAATTTCACCCCTCTGATCATCTGCTCTTGACTCTCCTCCTGCCTCCAGGGAAACCAGGGTCACCATGCACCATGAGTCAGCATCTCCTGGGGCACCGCAACCACTCAAATGCTCTATACCAAATAACTCTTATGGGACAAACTGCTTCTAAGGAATTCTGCCACGGGTAAAATCCAACATGCAGAGCATCGCACCCCGCCCCCCCAAAGCCATGCGTCAAACTCTAGCTCCCTTCTCTGGAAAGGCAAACAGGCTCCAAGAGGCTGAGCAACTTGCCTGAGGTCCTGAGGTCTCACAGCTGGATTTGATCCTAGGCAGCGTTACTCCCCTAATGTCCCTCCTGACAACCCACTACGCACTAGCACTGTTGTGACAGGGCACATCCCTCCCTTCTGACCCCCTTGTCCCACACCCCAGCCACCTTCTTGGCATATTCTGTCATCTTTTTGGGTGTGTTGAAGAAGAGGATCCGGGTGGCCTCTGCAAAAAGGATTTTCTCGTAGGCCTTCTCAATGCATCCTGCGATCTCATCCCTGTGAGGAGATGATGTAGTTCTCACTACTAAGCAGATAACCCCCAGACCCTGCCCTCTGCTCAGCACTGATGGCTGAATACATTTCTGCCCTAGTTTACTGGCAGAGGCTTAGAGAACTAACTTAACCAGAGTCACAAAGCAGGCAAGGGCCAGAGGGGACCCACAGCCCAGTCTCTGTAACTATTAAGACTGTGGAATCAACTACAGGCCCATCTGAATCCCACCTCTAGACACAAGGATTTCAAGCTGAGACAGGATTGCTGTGAATTCCAGGCCAGCCTGGGCTACAGGAAGCACTGTCTCAAAAAACCAAGCCAAAACAAAAAAGGAGATGGATTTCAGGTTATGTGAAACCTGCCTTGAAATTCACATAGAATCTCTTTACAACCTTGACAAGAGCATTGCACCCTACTTCAGAGATCTGGAGGAGGGTCTTAGATCATGAAGAGTCATCATGAGGAACTAGGGATGTAGCTCAATTGGTGGAGTGCTTGTCCAGCATACATGGAACACTGGGTTCAATCCCCAGCACCACATAAAACCAGGTGCAGTGGTACATACCTGTAATCCTAGCACTTGAAAGGTAGAGGCAGGGGGAACAAGAGTTCAGAGCCAGCCTCAGATACCTAGTGAGTTCATGGCCAACCTCAGCTACATGTTGAAAAACCCTTCCTCAATAGCACACTGCAGCTCAGCAGTAGAGTGCTTGTTTGGCTTGCACAAGGTCCTGGTTCAAGACCCAGAACCATCAGAACAAAACACAAAGGCAAAAAAACACAAAAAAATCAAGTACAAAAGGAGCAAGGCATCAAAATCATAGGGGCAGGGCAGGGCCTGGGGAAAAGCACCTGATAGTATCCAGCAGGATGTCGATGAAGAAGGTATAGCTCTCAGCAGGGATGTTCCCCTTGGCCAGGAACACCTTGTTGTAGCTGCCTTCCATCAGGTACTGCCAAGGCCGAGGACAGAGAAGGTGAAGAGGAGCACAGGGGTCTCCCTCCCCTTACTGCCCCCAATCCCTGCTCAGCCAGAAACCCCTTTGCTACACAGCCCATTCATTCCCAGTAGACTAGGTTCCTCCTCTTCCAGGAAGCCCTCCCTTGTTTACACAAACACCTTCTCAGCTTACTGTGGGCTGGCATCTAACCACCTCTTCTCCAGTTACAGGGGGAGATGAAGCTTTATCAACCCCAGCTCCTACTCATATTGGCCTAAACTGCTGCCATACTTGCAGCTGTCATCCCTCCTCACAGTTAAACCATCCAGATGCCTCAGCACCAGGTACAACTTCCTAACCTGCTCCTCTTGTTCCAGAGATCCTGTCTTCTTTGCTGACCCTCAGATATTAGGCAGGTCTCAGCCTAGGACACAGACTGCCTTTCCTTAGATATCCACATGGCCCTCTTTTGGGTCCTCTCTGGGCCCCTCCCAGCCCCCAGGTCCCCACCGCATTTCACACCTCACACACCACACAAGTCACTCATTCTTTTGGTCTGTCAGCCTCTTCCCCTCACTGTCTCAAAATCAGAGATCTTTATCTTTTTACTTCATTGCAGTATGAAAACCTACTCCAGTGCCTGGCACACAGCAACAGCTTGCTATTTCCTGGCTGAACAAGTGGAAGAGTTGGTGGGTTGAGACTGGCTGAATGCTGATCACTCTTCCAGAAATCCTCCCCAAGTTCTGACCTGGGACCAGCCACCTCAGCGGTCCTCCCGTCCCCTGCCCAGCCTCACTTGCTCAAGGGACACAGGGTGCTTGATATAAACATTGGTCTGGATGTCCTTGGCAGGCAGCCGCTCTAATTCTGTGTGGAACTCAGCCACGCGGTTCTGGGAGAGCAGGAAGAGGAGGTTGAGGCCCAGGAGCTGATGCATATAGGCGGACTCGGGGAGCTGTTCCCTACGGACCAGGGAGGGGAGAGATCAAGGTCAGTAGGTCTTGGGACCTACCAAGTGCCTCATCCAGTCTCCAAAAGCCTGACAACTGGTTCTAGGAATTCAGACAAGTAAGGCCCAGAGAGGCAAAACAAGTCACAAGTCATATGGACCAAGGAAGTGATCTCACTTCAGGGTGACTCAGCCTGTTTCTCCAACTGGTAAACAGCTGTCACTACAGTATCCACTTCATAGAGATAGGTTTAGTGAATGAGTGTTAAGTGAATTAAATGGCCTAAGCAAGGTAAAGTCATAAGAATCCAGGGGCTTAAGATGTAGCTCAGTAGGAAGACTATTTGCCTAGCATGCACAAAGCCCTGTATTAACAAGACTCTGTAGTACACACCTGTAATTCCAACATGTAGAAGGTAGAGGCAGGAGGATCAGAAGTTCAAGGTCATCCTTAGCTACATATTGAGTTCTTAGCCAATTTGGGGTACCCAGTCTCAAAAAGAAAATCCTATTGGGCCAATTATAGTGGCACACACCTATAATCTCACACTCTGGGAGGTAGAGAAGGGAGGACCATTCATCTGAGGCCAGTCTGAACTATATAGCAGGACTCTTCTTTCAAAAACAAAATTCACCAAAAAACAAAAACAACACATACACACACACACACACACACAAAACCAGCAGAGGGAGGCACCATCTGTAATTCCGAGGCTCAACCAGAAGTCCATCCTGGGCTACATACTGAGTTCAAGACCAGCCAGGACTACAAAAGACCCCCATCTTGAACAAAACAAAATAAAATAAAATAAACCAAAAATAAAATAAATAAAAACCAAAACAAAGCAAGATCCTATTGGTTGCTAAGGATTTGTGAGTCAGAGGGGACAAGGGTAGAGCCAGGGCAGGTGAAGGGTGGTGATAGCAGCGACCCTGGGAAAAGGGAATGTAGTTTCAGAATAGATAAGGGAGACAGATTAGAGACTTACATAAAATGGACCATATAACCCCATCTCAGGACCTCCAAGCCAACCCTCTGCCCCTACCACCTCTGTTGACAGAGCTAAGTGAGCAGTGGTTCCCAGGTGAAGGAAGTCAACCTGAACCAGAAATAAATGAATCGAGTAACCATCCCCACTCCAGTTCAGGGCAGGGCCCAGACTCACTTATAATCAAAGTAGTAGCATTTGAGTTGAGCCATGTAGCGCTCGAAGGAGGGGATGTCCTTGCATAGGATGCTCCACTGGGCCCCGATCTCCAGTATGTCACCTGTAACAGGGTGGGCTCTCAGGTGGTGACTTGACTCCCTCCTGGGATCACCACTGCCACCATTCCTACCACAACCTCCAGCCCATCACCCTCCACCAACCCCCAGTGACACTCACGGGCCAGGATGAGCTGCTGCTTGGTCAGTTTGGTCCCTGTGGTGGGCAGGAAATTGAGCTCCAGCAGAACCAGCTGAGGGAAGGAAGATGAGACTTCAAACACAAGTTACTTTCTTCTAGACTTCAATGTTCCTACTTTGGAAATAGCGATAACCAGCATCCCTAACTCATAAAACTTAGAGAATTAAAGGGATCAGTCTCAAGGAAGCACTCAGTGAGTGCTCATTTAGGATTACCTCATCTTACAATTATTAATAGCCCCACTGGGAAACAGGAGACACTCAGTACCTGACCCAAAGAAATCACGAGGCAGGGAAACACAGCCACTCTCAGAGTCCTTTCTGTTGTTATTTTTGGTTGGTATGATTTTGGATCTTTGTTTGGATCTCACTGTGTAGCTCAGGCTGGCCTCCAACGATATCCTGTTGTATCAGCCTTCCAAGTGCTGGCATTACAGGTGTGGGCCACCATGCCCAGTCAGAATACTGAGTTTTAAGACCTTCCCCACACTCTGCCTGAGCAGGGGTAACTGAGTAGAGGTAATTTACATCAAGTCGTGTGGGGCACGAATCTATCCCCCCAGTTCAGCCCAGACACGATTCCTTGGTGTAAGCTCAGTTGACTTAGTATATTTAGGCTTCCTCCCTAGTAAACACTTGAATGTGTTTACATCCTGAACCCCATGTTCTAGGTTTCTCTTTACTCAGATGCGTCCTTAACCTCAGCGCTCACAATCTAACTTTTCCCTGGTCTTAACCACACATCTTTTTTTTCTACCACCCCCTCGTTCTCCACTTGGTCGTGTTTGGTACCAGTCCCCCAGTATTCTCCTAACGCGGTCGGTTCCGCCACGATCAGTCTTTCCATCACTCCCTCCCCGCCACCCCAGGGGCTGCGTCTGGTCTGCTCCGCTCCAGAGCCCTCCAGGCAGGCCCTTGCTTGCCCAACCTCGCGTTCTCGAATTGCCCGTGGGCCCGGCGAGGTGACCGCGCGCGCGCCGCCTCCCGCAGGCAGCAGGCATCCCGGGCTCGCCGACTCCTACCTTCAGGCGGCCCAGCTCTTCTCCGCATTTGCTAAGGTTCGGGCTCTTCCGGTTCCACTCGTCCTTGAGCTGCTCGTACATGCCCGCCGCGGTCTGCAGGACAGCGCCGGAGGTGGCCGCGGGCCCAGAGCTCGAAACGCAGTGCGCCCCGTTCACCGCCGCCGCAGCCGCCGCAGCCATCTTTCGTGATGCGGCAAACCGCGGGCCTGATTTACGGCCGCGACGTCTACAAATGGCCTCCCGGCGGAAGTGAGGCCGGGAGGTGGAGCCCAAGGCCGGAGGCGGGGCTACGACTGCCGGCCGCTGCCCGCGGCGGTTGGAGCGCCGCCGCTGGCCCGGAGGTGCCTTCCCAGCTCGGCCCCTAATGAACATGTCAGAGCTCCACCTCTGCTGCCACTCAAAATGGAGACCGAAAGTCCGTTTGCTTTAACTGACAATGACAGCCACAAGCCCCCCGCCCACTCCCGTAGTCAATATGGCCGCCCTAGCTTCAGGCTGTGGAACATCTGTCTTCAGGGTAGCGTCTTCGTGCCAAGAGGTGGCGATGTGGAGCCATTTGGAAACTTTCAAGTTTCCAAAGGCAGGCATCGAGAGGGAGGCTGAGTAAACCACCAAAGGACTAGCAGGTGGATTTAAAGTTAGGTCGCTCTAGGTTCTCAGTGCATTATCCCTCCACTTTTTTTTTTTTTTTGGTCTTTTTGAGCCAGGGTTTCCTTGAAGCCCCAGTGGCGTGGGAACTCACTATGTAGACCAGGCTGGCCTTCAACTCAGAGCTATCCGCCTGCCTCTGCCTCCCGAGTGCTGGGATTAAAGGCGTGCGTCACCACGCCCAGCGATCTGGTTTTTTCATTTACACTCTAAGTAAAAGTTCTTTTTCTTTTTTGGGTTTTGTTTTTGTTTCATGATATTTCGAGACAGGATCTCACACTGTATCCCAGCCTGGCCTTGAACCCACTGGGAACTTGAGCCCAATATTCTAGACAGGGACTCATGTATCCCAGGCTGGTCTTGAACGCACTATGTGGTCTAGGATGATCTTGAACTCCTGATCCTCCTGCCTCTACCTCTTAAATGCTGGTTTTACAGATCTGTGCCTCCACACTCACCTTAAAAGTTCTCTTTTTTATTCTTTTTCTTTTTTTTTTTTTCTTTTTGAGACAGGGTCTCCCTGTAGCCCCAGCTGTCCTGGAACTCACTATGTAGACCAGGCTGGCCTTGAACTCACAGATATCCGCCTGCCTCTGCCTCCCGAGTGCTGCTATTAAAGGCGTGCGCCACCATGCCTGGCTTCCCTCCACATTTTTATCCAAGTTTCTGCCAATATGTATAAAATATTTACAAAAATCATACAAGCCTACGGCTTTAAATGTCATATGTGACATTAAAGGAGAGGAGTCCCATATTTTAAAAAAATATATTTGGGGGGAGAAGGAGGGAGGGAGGGTGCTGGAGCATTGATGTCAACTTGTGAAAGTCAGTTCCCCCTTTGCATCATGCAGGTTCTGGGGATCAAAACCAGGTCGTCTGGCTTGGTAATAAGCACCTCAGCTTATTACCTGCCTGAGCCATCTCGCTGGCCCGATTTCCCAATTTTTTTATCCCCATGCCTACTTCCTCCATTAGTACATAAATACCCCCTCCTACCCCACCCCCCAATATTCAGAAAGTAAGCACACACACACACACACAAACACAAACACACACACACACACACAACCTCCGGGGGGGGGTGCAGTTTTTTAAAATGTTTTTTTATATTTTGAGACAGGGCCTTAAGGAAGCCTCAGAGTCATTATGTAGGCCAGGATGGCCTGGAACTCCTGATCCTCCTGCCTCTGCCTCCCAAGGGCTAAGATTACAGGTATGTCCCATCACACCCAGCATGCAGTATGTTTTTCAAGTTCATAGACATTGCAGCATGCAACAGCACTTTGTTCCTTTTAGTGTTGATATTCTATTATGTGTCTTTGAATTTATCAATATATCCATTGGTGAACATCTGGGCTGTTTACCTTTTGACTATTTTGAATAGAAGGGTGCTACTACGACCATGAAAGTACATGTAATTATTTGTGTACTTGTTTTTAGTTATTAGGGTTATATATTGTGTTAGCTTTCCATTACTGTAATAAATCACTGAAATAAATCAACTTAAGAAGAAAAGTTCTAAAAGAAAGCTGGATATAGTGGTGTACACTATAGCCCTAGTATTCAAAGAGGCTGAAGCAGAAGGGTTGCTTCAAGTTCTAGGTCAGTCTGGGCTACCTAGTGAGTTCAAGGTCAGCCTGGGATATATATCAAAATCCTATCTCAAGAGATTGCAGAGTTAACTCTGCAGTTAAGAGATCTTGCTGTTCTTTCAGTGGAAAGGAGTTTAGCTCCCAGCACCTACATCACACATGTCACAACAGCCTGTAACTCCATGTCCAAGGGATCTGATGCCCTCTTCTGACCCCCTTGGGCACCTGCACATGGACACACACACACACACACACACACACACACACACACACATACCTACATAAATAAAAGTAAAATAGATCTTTTAAAAAAATTATTTTGATTTACAGCTGGGCATGGTGGCACATGCTTTAATCTCAACATTCCAGAGGCAAAGGCAGGCGGATCTCTGTGAGTTTCAGGCCCAGTGGGACTACAGGGAGACCCTGGCTCAAAAAAATAAAATAAAAATTATTTTGATTTTGATTTTATGTGTATGAGTATTTTGCCTGCACATATATAAGTGCACCCATGTTGTGCAATGCCCATGGAGGCCAGAAGGGGGCATCAGAGCTTCTAGAACTGGAGTTATAGAGGTTTGTTAGCTGCCATGTGGGTGCTGGGAACCAAGCCCAGGTCTTCTGCAAGAGCAACCAGTGCTCTTAACAGTTGAGCCATCCCTGCAGCCCACAAATAAATCTTTTTTTCTTTGTTTGTTTGCTTTTTCTTTTTTTTTTTTTTTTTTTTTTTTTTTTCTTTTTTTCTTTGAGACAGGGTCTCCCTGTAGCTCCAGCTGACCTGGAACTCTATGTAGACCAGGATGACCTCTATCTCACAAAGATTCACCTACCTGTGCCTCCTTAGTGCTGGGATCAAAGGTGTTTTTAAATATTTTATCTATTTTTATTTTATGTATATGAGTGTATTGCCTGCATGTAGGTAAGTGCACCTATGTCATGCAATGCTGGCAGAGGTCAGAAGAGGCTGTCGGATCCCCTGGGACTGGAGTTACAGAAAGTTGTTAGCTGCCATGTGGGTTCTGGGATTCAAACCCTGGTCTTCTGCAAGAATAACCAGTGTTCTTAACCACTGAGCCATCTCTCTAGCCCCAGCAGCTTCATTTTGACTCACAGTTTTGGAGGTTTCAGTTGGTGATTGGCAGACCTGTTGTTTTATGACCTCTGGTGAAGGTGAGTAGCACATTACTGTGGGACATCTGCTGTGTAACAACACTTTCTTCAATTCATGGCTAGGAAATGAAAAAATGAAAGAGGAAAAGGCTGGGGTCCCACTATCTTCTTTAAGAATCTCTTGCAAGGTTTAATGCCTCCACTAGACACTACTTCTTTTGTTATTTATTTATAGAAAGGGTTTCATTATATAGCCCAGGTTGGCCTGGGACTCTATGTAGCCCAGGTTGCCCTTGAGCTCACAATAATCCTCCACTTCAGCCCTTTAAGTACTAGGACTACAGCCACAACCTGACTTATTAAATTTTTTATAATCTCAATCATGCTAAGCTAAGGAACCAGTTTTTAACACATGGGCCTTTGGGGGACATTCTAAATACAAAGTACAACTTAAAGAAAGATGGCCAGAGCCATCTGGTAAATCTGGTAAATCCTTTGGCCTCATGCCTTCATACAGCCCTGATTCCCTTAATTTCCACAACATTGGGCTGGCGAGATTGCTTAGCTGTAAAAGGCATATGCCACCAAGACTGACAACCTAAGCTTGATCCTTGGGACCTACACAGTGAAAGGAGAGAACTGACTCCTACAAGTTGTCCTCTGACTTCCACATTTTGGCCATGGCACACACCCTCCCTCAAATCAATGTGATAAAAATAAAACACAAGGCCAGGTGTGGTGGAGCACGCCTTTAATCCCAGCATTTGGGAGGCAGAGGCAGGCAGATCTCTGTGAGTTCGAGGCCAGCTTGGTCTACACATTTTAAGAGCCTTTTCCCTGGGTGTACAAAAAAGTGTCAAAATAATAAGTGAATAAATAAATAAATAAATAAAAACTATTTCCCCAGAACACTGAAGGGCCTAGTGGCATGGGTCTGTAATCCCAGCTACTAAGGAAGTTCAAGGTCAACCTTGTCTCAAAAAACAAAACAAAAAGGCCAGGATGATGGCAAAGGTCTGTAATCCTAGCTATTCAGGAGGACAAGGCAAGAGGATCACAGGTTCAAGGTTAGCCTGGGCTACAGAGAGACTTTGAAGCCAGCCTGGGCAGGTTAATAAAAGTAGAGTGCTGGGGACACAGTCCAATGGTAGAGTGCTATTCTAGCATGCACTAGGCCCTACATTCAATCCCTAAAAAAAAAAAAAAAAAGGCAAAGGACTAAGGATGAGCCTCAGTAGTAGAAATTTATTTAAAGTAAAATAAATAAAATAAAATAAATAAAGTGCTAAAAAAAAAAACAAAAGGCTAGGGATGGGCCTCAGTAGTAGAATATTTGCCCACCAGATATTGATTTTGATTACTAGCACTGAAAAAAAAAAAAAAAAAGACATGGTGATCTGTCTGCCCTAATATCCCCCAGGCCTCCACTCACTGAGGGTAGGTGGGTGGTCATGGGAACACTACTCAGTGTCCAAAAAACAGAATAGGATCAGCACATTGCTTTTGTATTTTCATTTTATGTATCTGAGTGTTTTGCCTGCATGTGTGTAAGTACACCCCTGTTGTGCAATGCTCAAGGAGGTCAGAAGAGGGCATTGGATTCCCCTGGAACTGGAATTATAGACAGCTGCCATGTGGATGCTGGAAATTGAACCTGGGTCCCCTGAAGAATAGCCAGTGCTTTTAACTGCTGAGCCATCTCTCCAGCCCCCCTTTTTCCTTTTCTGAAAACCCAATTTCTTTAGAATTGCCCTGCCCCCCACTCAAGCAAAACCTTAGGTTGGGATTAACCACCATCAGGAGCAGGGTGTGATTGACCTAAACCAGTTGGGGCTCCCATCCCTTCCACCATGTGATTGGTACAGTCATGACCTTATGATCCAAATCTTATAATCAGAGAGCCTGAGATGACTTTTGATGGAGTGTGCTGGACCCCAGTTTCTTCTTCCACTGGACAATATGACATGTGGAGGTATAGTCTTTGGTGGTGAAGATGGACCTTGAGGTCAGAGTCCACTCAGAGAGGGGAAGCTACAAAGAAACTGAGCTAGAATTCTGCAGCCACTAAGAGCTTCTGGATCAAACTGTATCTGATGCCTTTGCTAACAAACCTCTGAGGGGGGGCATGGTCAGAAAACCTGTAATTCCAGTGTTATAGAAATCAGGCAGCTGAGAAACCAAGCTCTCAGAGACTTGGAAAACTCACTTTTTTTTTTTATGCCAGGGGCCCAAATGAGCTAATGCTTTGACGTTCTGGGCTCTGAGCTGCAGAAATACATATGTTTTATAAGGTTTTTCATGTGATTTTCCAACAGTCATAATACCATTGGTGGGTATAAACTGTGGCTACATGATTTCTAGCACAGATATCTACATGTCTGGGGCTGTTATGTGGAAAATTCCATTGAAGTTAAACAGGCAAGCAGGCTTACAAAAAAACAGATATTGAGGGCAGAAGTTAAAACATATTTTAATTTACAGGATAATTGAGGGCGTCTTAGCAAACAGCATGTTTTACCAGATAACAGCAGTTTTCAAATAACAACCATTTTCCAAAATAGCACTTGTGGCCCTGTGGCCCTATTTTAGTTTTATTTCCTCTTTCAGCACAACTTTTAGCAGACTTTTATTATGAGTATATAGTATTTGTCCTGAGGTATAAAATGTTATAAGAGCAATATCAGATGCACACAAAAGTAACATTAAATGCATGATATTTCCTCTTCACCAGAACCTGGCACGTGGAGGCAGAAGGATCAGGGGTTCAAGATCATCTTTGGAGGGCTGGAGAGATGGCTCAGTGGTTAAGAGCACTGACTGCTCTTGCAGAGGACCCGGGTTCAATTCCCAGCACCCACATGGTAGCTAAAAACTGCCCTTAATCCAGTCCCAGGGGAATCTGAAGCCCTCTTCTGACCTCCACGGCATTGCACGACACAGGTGCACTCACATACATGCAGGCAATACACTCATACACATAAAATAAAAATAATAAAGAAAATATTTTTCAAAAAAAGATCATCTTTGGTTACATAACTAGTTCAAACTAGTCTGGGTTATGTGGGGAAAAACAAAATAAAAACCAAAAGCCAGACTCAGTGATGCACACCTGTAATCCCAGCACTCACGAGGCAGAGACAGGAGAACACATGCAAGTTTAAACCCAGCCTAATCTATCTAGTGAATTCTGGCCATATTTGTTACATAGGGAGACCCTGTCTCAAAAACGGGAGAAAAAAATGGGCCATCAAGATGGCTCAGTGGGTAAAAGGCTGCTAAGCCTGAGGATCTGAGTTTGATTTCCAGGACCCACACTGGAAGGAGAAAGTCCACCCCCAAGTTGTTTTCTACCTGCACATGCACGTCGTGGAATGTGTGTGCCCACACACATATGCACAGAATAAATGAACATAATAAAAAAAACCTCAAACAACCATAAACCCCCACAAATTACCACTTCCATATAGACTACTTAAATGAAATTTTTACTATTTGTTAACTAAAATAAACACCTTAACCTTACAGTGTTCTCTCTGTAAGCCACTAGATAGACTTTGACATTCAAAACATGTACTGGCTATTACAACCAGAACATCAGATAACCAGAACATGATGCAGGCCACAGATCAGCCTCGATGGTGGAGGACTCCATTGCATTGGAGGGAAGCCTAGGACACCTTGGGGAGGGAGGGGCTGGGGTGAAAGTGTAGGTATTCAACTGGACCTGAGTGCAGCCATCTTGAAAAATGACAGCCAGGATTGTTCCTGAGTAGCTCTGGTCACCTGTACCCCCCATGGTCCACCATTAGCCTGAATAGTTTCTCAACAGAATCAAACCATTAGAAAGGTTTGGAATGTAGAACTTTGCTATTGCCCCTGGCATCAGTACCAGGAATGTGCCTGACTTCTAAATTATTTGTTTATTGTGTCTTTCTCTTGTAACCCAAGCTAGCTTGGAACTCACTATGTAACCCAGACTGACCTCAAACTCAGGGGGTTGCTTCTCTCTCAGGCTCCTAAGTGCTGGGATTATAGTTGTGAGCCATAACACTTGCCATCTTTTTGGTTTATTATTCTGTTTTTTGACACAGGGTTTCACTATGTAACCCATGCTTGCCTCAAACTTTCTTTTTTTAAATTGAATTTATTATTATTATTATTATTATTATTATTATTATTATTTTGGTCTTTTTGAGACAGGGCCTCCCTGTAGCCCCAGCTGTCCTACATAAACCAGGCTGGCCTCGAACTCACAGAGATCCGCCTGCCTCTGCCTCCCGAGAGCTGGGATTAAAGGTGTGCACCACCATGTCCAGCCTTATTATTTTTATTTTATGTGTATGTATGTATTGCCTGCATGTAGGTAAGTGCACCCGTGTCATGCAATGCCCGCAGAGGTCAGAAGAGGCTGTTGGATCCCCTGGGACTGGAGTTACAGACAGTTGTTAGCTGCCATGTGGGTGCTAGGATTCAAACCCAGGTCTTCTGCAAGAACAACCACTGTTCTTAACCACTGAGCCATCTCTCCAGCCCCAGCCTCAAACTCTCACAGCTGCCATAGTATAGGCATGAGCCACTGTGGGTACCTTTTTTTTTTTTGACACAGGTCTCATGTAGCCCAGTGCTGTGTAGCAATTTCCTCTGAGATAAAACCTTCCATCTTGAGGGGCTGGAGAGATGGCTCAGCAGTTAAGAGCATTGACTGCTCTTGCCCAGCATGGTGGTGCACACCTTTAGTCCCAGCACTCAGGAAATGAACAAGTCAATAGCTTCAGGAAGTCCCAGAAACTGACCAGATTCACTAGGCCTCTCTGTCCCCAAGCATATAAACCCAAAGGATGGCATATAGGCACTCTCAGATCAGTCCAGCTGCCTGGTAGAGGCAGAAACCAGGTAAGCTACCTGGAAAGACCATTTTCTAACACTCTCCTGCCTGCAGGTTGCGCAGTGCACTCCAGGTTTCCCACTTTCAGGAGCTGTCACCCATGCTGGGATGGGCTTTGGTGATGCTGCTGTCTGTGAGCCATTTCTTTAACCCCTCATCCATACTCAGTAAATTCATTAGCTCACCAAGTTGGACTGTGGTGATAGCCTCACTTTGGTTGGTTCCCTATCTGGGGTGAGTAGATGTTCACATCTCCCAGGAATAGTGTCACATAATACCTGGGTGAGCCTTGAATTCACCATATAGCCACAGATAACCTTGAATTCCTGGTCCTCCTACCATCATCTCTCTAGTTCTAGGATTACATGTGTGGACTACTACACCTGGTTTAGACTTGATTTTTTTTTGAGATGGGGGCCTCCCTTTGCAGCACTGGCCTGTCTGGAACTTGATATGTAGACCAGGCTTCTAACCCAGAGATCTGCCTGCTTCTGCTTCCTGCGTGCTTGGATTAAAGGTGTTCACCAGCACTCCTAGCTTGATTTTTTTATTGTATTACATTATTGTGTGTGTGTGTGTGTGTGTGTGTGTGTGTGTGTGTGTGTGCACATGTGGAGGCCAGAAGACAAGGTGCGGTCAGTTCTCTTCTTTCCTATATGGATCCCAGGTATGAAACTCAGATTGTCAGACTTGACAGTGAGTGTTCTACCCACTTAGCCATTGCAAAGACCTAGACTCTGATATTTTAATGACAACTACAGCTGTACCAGTACAAACCAAATGAACAGGAGGGCTCATGATTGGTCCTGAAGTGAGGCTTTATTTGGGTCTGTACCAGACATGAACATTCTAGCAAAACAGAAAAGCCTGGGTAAGTGGCAGGCTATATTTCAAATAGAAGAGGCCTGAGGGTAGATGTGGGATAGGACAACAGACTCAGGTGGTCGCCTTCTCTGCTGGCTCAGCATCAGCCTTCTCCTGCATCATGGTGGTGCTCTGCCTGAAGCTTGGCTGAGACTGGAAGCTGAAGGCTTAGGTGGCATAGGTGTGTTAAGACTCAGAGGCCATGATATTGGTAATCTTCCAGCGCAGCATGGTCCAGGCCTTCACAATATGGGGCCACAGGAGACAGAACAGGATGTAAAAGATCACTAAGCCCATCAGCACGCTGGCTGACACCTACAAGCAAGGTATAGCCACCATGGGTACACAGTGCTGGGTGGCACACTGCCCACCCAGTAGGGCAGCCCCTGAACTGCCACTCACAATGACGATGAAGAGTGAGCGCTTGCCGCTGAGCGGGAAGCCATGCATGTGCAGCATGAAGATGAGCTGGTAATCACAGTACGTGCTTGTGTCTACACCTCTAGTGGACGATGGCGTCAGGGGTTGGGGGAGTGAGTGTGGCATCACAAGGGGCACCCTCAACCCCCACCCACCTAGGCCACATGCCTGCCTCACCTATTGCTCACCAACACCTTAAAGTAGAATTCAGGGGCAAAGATGTTGTGGGGCAAGATGTCATGGCACGGGGAGTTCTCCAAACACAGCCATCTAGGAGTTCAAGTTCAGGCACTTGTAGCACTTACACTCCAGGTAGCACCAGATAGATGCAGTCTCCACCTTCTCAATTCTCTCTGCTTCTTCCTGTTCTAACTGGTGCTGGGGACTGAATTCAGGACTCATTCAAACTAGGCAAGAGATCTACTGCTGAGCCATGCCTAGCACCTCACTGCTGGATTTTAGGCAGGTGCTCTACCATTGAGCCACACTTCCAGTCCCTCACTGGTGGATTCTAAGCAACTTCTCTACCACTGAGCCATACCCCCAGCCCCTCACTGGAAGATTCTAGGAAAGTGTTCTATCACTGAGCCACACTCACAGCCCCTAACTGGGGGATTCTAGGCAACTGCTCTAACACTGAACCACAGCTACAGCCCCTCACTGGGGGACTCTAAGCAGGTGTTCTACCACTGAGTCACACCCCAGCCCCTCACTGGGGGATTCTAGGCAGGTGCTCTACCACTGAGCCACCCCCCCAGCCCCTCACTGGGGGATTCTAGGCAGGGGCTCTACCACGGAGCCACCCCCCCAGCCCCTCACTGGGGGATTGTAGGAAAGTGTTCCACCGCTGAGCCATGCTCACAGCCACCACCTGGGGGATTCTAGGCAGGGGCTCTACCACGGAGCCACCCCCCCAGCCCCTCACTGGGGGATTCTAGGCAGGTGCTCTACCACTGAGCCACACCCCCAGCCCCACACTGGGGGATTCTAGGCAGGAGCTCTACCACTGAGCCACACCCCAGCCCCTCACTGGGGGATTCTAGGAAAGTGTTCCACCGCTGAGCCATGCTCACAGCCCCCAACTGGGGGATTCTAGGCAACTGCTCTAACACTGAGCCACGTCCCCAGCTCATAGTCTCTACCTCTTCTTGTCTAGTAATTCATACAGCAGTGCTGCCCAGGTACCTGCCATGGAACAGGCTCTTTGTTCACTCATTTCCTGCTGCCTCCCTGCCTCCATCTGTCAGTTCACCTAGATGTTGGATTAAGTGCCTATCATGTGCCAACTCCCCTATTTCCTGCTGTCTTCATCCCACAAGTACAGTTTGAACACACTCTAAGTCCAAAATCACATCATTTCTCACTATCTCCTAGTCATTATTCAATAAAACCTGACTGAGAGAACCTGGTTTGTTCATTCAGTCACTGCTTATGGTATCCTTTCCTTCCTTTCATTGAATAAAAAATGGTTATTGAGCCCCTACATAGTAATGAGCTTCTCTACTGTTTTCATTCATTAATATCTCCATTAAACTGTCAGTGAATGCTGACTATGAATTACTTTGTTCATTCAAAAAAATTCTCTGCTGAGTCTATTCAAGAACTGTGCACTATAGGGGGTGGCCAGGGCCAGATCCCACAGAAGACAGTGACAGCTCAGAGTGGTCAGGGCCAAGATGTGATAAAGATGCAGGCTAGGGTAAGGGATGGGATGGGATGGGGAGCTGCAAGCAAAGGTCGTGGAGTGCCCAGAGGAGTCCACTGCCCTCTGCAGCCCTGGCTGGCCTCAAACTCACAGAGATCCACCTGCCTCTGCCTCTCAAGTGTTGGGATTAATATGGTTACACCACCATACCTGCCCATCTTGAAATAGTGGGCTAAGCCCTCCTGGAGGAAGTAATCTACCAGCTAAGGCCTAAAGACATAATGGGAGGGCCCAGAGTTCCAAAGGAAAGGCATCTCTATACAAAGGTTAGCTGCCCCGTGGGAAACACAATGTGGCTGCAATATCTAGAAGTCTCCCCAAGGGGCCAGATAGGTGTCAAGGGGACTTGTGTAAAGCACATGTCTGTAATCCCAGCCCATGTCCTAGTGCTCAGGAATCTAACTAGGAGAATCATTTAAGTTTGAGGCCAGGCTGAGTACTGGGAATCTGTGTAAGAAAAAAACAGGGTCTGGGGTCCTGGGGATGTAGCTCAGTTGGGAGAGTTTGCCTAGCACACACCAAGCCCTAGGTTCGGTACCCAGCACCAGAGAAACAGGGGACAAGGCCACCTGTCTCTCACTTGTGATGGTGCATGCCTATCATCCCAGCAGTCAGGAGGTGGAGGCAGGAGGATCAGAAACACAAGGTCATCCTCAGCTACAAAGCAAATTCAAGGCCAGCCTGGATACCTGGGACCCTATGATTTAAAAAAATAAAAAAGAGCTGGGCTGGAGAGATGGCTCAGCAGTTAAGAACACTGGCTGCAGGACCTGGATTTGATTCCCAGCACCCACATGCTGACTAACACCTCTCAGTAAGTCCAGTTCCAGGGGACTCCAACACCCCCTTCAGACTTCCAGGGGCATTGCACGGCATGGGTGCACTTACATACTTGTGGGCAATATATTCATATACATAAAATAAAAATAAAATATTTTAAAAAAGAGGGCGGTGCTTGAACACTCACTCGATGCCCGGGCTCTGGTAGGACATGATGTGAAACGCCATGTCATTGGTAGTCTTTTCTGTCTTAGTTTTCCAGATGAGGCTATTGGTCCTGTGCCGGATGGTGTAATGTCAGGGTGGGCAGCCAGCTAGCTACACTGCTGCCAGCGCCAAGACTGGCTACCTGCGTGGTGGCGGGGGCCCTGGTGGGCGGGGCCGTGGTGTGGGTGGCGTTTGCAGGGAGGGCTGGCGGGGGCCAGGGGTGGGGGGTGGGGGAGGGAGGACTAGGGCCCGCAGGCCAGGCAGGCTGATGGTGGACCAGTCCCACAGGGATTACTTGTCCAGCGGGCTGTTGTAGCGGTAGATTTCCTCTTCTGTGAAGTCCCTGATGGTGTCCAGTGTGTACCCGCCGCCCACCACCTTCAGAACGTAACTGCAGAGAGCACAGGCACGCATGCACTGGGGTCTCGAATTCTGCACTGGGGTCTCGAATTCTGCATCCCATTTGCCAAGCCCGGGCAGCGCCGGCCTTGCTTTTTACCTGCCCTTAAAGCTGCCGGAGGCTCCCGTCACCAAATCTTGAATCAAGAAGAAGGGTTGGAACACTGGATTCGAAAGGAGTGGAGAGCAGAAGAAATGAGCTTGGTTCAAAAAGGGGATGGAAGACTCGAGGAGCGGGAGGGGAGAGGACGGAGGACCCCGGGGTTCCAGCAGGAGGTGGTGGGGTGTTGGGAATGAGGGAGAGAGGGCGAAGTGGTGGGAACAAGAGGGCAGTGAAGGAGGGAGAAGGGCTCCAACACACGGTCACGGAAGAGAAAGCAGGGCATCTCGGGGTTCACCACCACACAGTCAAAGTAGTGTTTGTTCAGCCGCCGGGACTGATCAATGGTGTAGGTGACATCGAAGGCCAGGCGCTTTCCCGGGGGACAGCCGATTAATACTGGCACCATCAGGTTGCCCTGGGCACAGCATAAAAAGAAAAAGCTCCTGCTGGGGGGGCCGGCCAGATCACCTTGAAGAAGTATCGGCAATGCAATTCTTTTTTTTTTTTTTTTGTCTTTTTGAGACAGGGTCTCCCTGTAGCCCCAGCTGTCCTGGAACTCACTATGTAGACCAGGCTGGCCTTGAACTCACAGAAATCCGCCTGCCTCTGCCTCCCGAGTGCTGGGATTAAAGGCGTGTGCCACCATGCCTGGCTATTAATTTTTACTTTTTTTTTATTTGCACAGTTGCATTTATTTTTCAAAAAGTCAACAAATTTTTTTGAACAAGACACACTTGTTTTTAGCCATTTTCATTATTTAATGGTTCATTTGCTTCACTTATAAAACAGGAACAACCAGAAAGGCCATGCTGGAATTAACTGGTTGTAGACTGAATTTTTACTTAAAAAAAAAAATACTTTATTATTTTAAAATTTTATGTGTATGAGTGTATTGCCTGTAAGTACAACCGTGTCATGCAATGCCTGTGGAGGTCAGAAGAAGGTGGCGGATCCCCTGGAACAGGATTTACATCTGTTGTTAGCCACAATGTGGGTGCTGGAACTCAAATCCCAGTCTTCTAAAAGGACACCCAGTGCTCTTAGCCGTTAAGCCATCTCTCCAGCCCCTTTACTCCTTTTTTTCAGACAGGGTCTGTCTGTAACTGGCTGGCCTGAACTCACTATATATCCCAGACCCGCCTTAAACTCTTCTTCCCTCAGCTTTCTAAATGCCAACAGCCAAGTTGGCTCTGCCTCATTGTTGCCATCCAATTTTGTTAGTGTTGCTCTCTGAGACAAGATCTTGCTGTATACCCCAGGCTGGCCTCAGACTGCAGATCCTCCTGCCTCTGCCTCCCCAGTACTGGGATGATAGGTGCTTGCCGTCTCTAAAATAGGGCATACTTGGGACCCAGAATGAGTACCAGGGGTCAGGGAGTCCCCATGACAGTGTCTTAAGAATGAAGTCTTAGCCGGGAGTGGTGGCCCACGCCTTTAATCCCAGCACTCGGGAGGCAAAGGCAGGTGGATCTCTGTGAGTTCAAGGCCAACCTGGTCTACATAGTGAGTTCCAGGACAGCTGGGGCTGCAGGGAGACCCTGTCTCAAAAAGACAAAAAATAATAAAGTTTTTTAAAAAATTAAAATTTTAACATGTAAGGAAGACAAGACCAGACCAAGAATCCACCTATTTTTCTCCCCCAAACCTCAGCTCTTCTGCCTCTACATTTGTGTCTTCCCTGACATTTCTGGAACACACACACACACACACACACACACACACCCTTCATCTGTCCTCAGCGTACAACCCACTGTGAAGGATAGCCAGTCTCTCCACTTCCCTCCTGACTCATCCTGACTCAATCAGGCTTGCTCCTGTTGTTACTTTAGCCTGTCATCCAGGGAGCCTGTGCTGATAACAATATTCACTGCCCCAGTCATTCCAAACCAAGGGGGAGGAGACCTAGGGTAGGTTTGCAGATAGGTGGGCAGGGAAGTCACCAAGAACAAGCACTCTAGATTGACCCCCTTCTCCACCACTTATAAGCCCTCTGGGTTAGTCTGCATCTCCTGGGACCTCAGTGGCTAACTGCATGCAAGGGGAAATGTTCCTGCATAAGCAAAAGAAGAACCAAGAACCCAAAGGAGAGAGCAAAGAACAGTGTGAGTGGATGAGTGAGAGACACTGTGAGGGTTGGGGGATGTAGCTTAGTGGTACAGTGCTTGCCCAGCATGTTCAATCCCCAGTGCTGGAAAAAATGTAAAAAGAAAAAGGAAAGCAGTGTGTGGAAGGGGTGGCTGAGTTCACCATGTGATGCTGTGTACCAGCTGGATAAAGAAGCCTTCAAACCTTCCCTATAAAGGAAAAAAAAATCCAAGGCGCCTATAAACTTGTGTACAACTACAGAGGTGTGAAGGTGCCCTTTCTGAAATCCTCCAATTGAATGCGGGGGGGTGGTGAATGAGGAAGAAAAAGGAGAAGGAAAAATTATGAATGACATTAGTGGGATTCCCAGAACAGTTCTAGAAATCATCCCCGTAGACACTTAACCCACCCCTCCACCTGCCAGTACCGGGACCCAGTACCCCAGCTCCAGTACTTGCATTCGTGTTCCAAGGTATGTATTCTGGAAGCACTTCCCGGAAGACCCCAACACCTGAGGGTAGGAATAGGTGATGATGGGGATTCCCAAGGACCTTTTTTTCCCCTCATCCCGTAGTACCCCTCCCCCTAAGCTTGGACCATACATTGACTGTCATGGACGTCTTCTTGAGGTTATGTCCACTGATGCCCTGGTCATAGCAGACCATCTTATCCAGAAGTGTAATCTGAAGTGGAGGAAAGGAAGAGGCAAAGGGATATCCAGATCTGTCCGTCGATCAAGAGAAGGTTCAAAGGCTCAATAACTGGGGCCGAGTGGGGGCTAGCAGAAGATCGATCGATAGCCTTCCATCGGCTGTGCAGAGGAATAGACTCAAAGCCACCACCGCCGGGTACCTCGGCGCCAACCTTGGCAGCCCCTCTTCTCCGGGGCTCACCCTGTATAGCATCGAGTTGCGGTTAATTAGGACCTCCTCCTGCACTGAGGCCTCAACGCACCTGGGATCCGCCACCGTCGCGGCCACTGACAGCTTGGTCTCCACCTGCGAGGAGGAGCCTGCCCGGGAGGAGGGAGGGGCTAAGGCATAGCCCCGCCCTGGAAACCCAGGCCCCGCCCCGGCCTCCAGTTGGGCCCCGCCCACAGACCGAGGTTCTCCCGCGCAGTCAGGAAGACGCTGAAGCGGTAGCTGTTGCCTTTGTCCAGAAAGATGGTGTCGGGCAGCCGGGATTCGGATGTGAGGTTGTAGATCTTCTTGTAGCTGTTCATGTCGATGTACACGCCGTCCGGGGTCTTACAGTTGCTCGACAGGTAGAAGTAGTAATCCTGGATGCGCAGGGCGGGGTCAGCGAGCACGCTGGGGACCTGGGCGGGTGTGGGGTGCCACCCGTCCGCCGACCCCCACCTGCCCACGTACCCGGTCTTGTTTTTTGTTTTGCCACCAGCGCCACGTGGGATCGTGCACCGGGTCCGCGTAGGGCTGCGGGACGGCAGGACACGAGCTCAAAGCCTCAAGCAGGAGACACACAACGCAGCCCCCTCCTCCACCCCGGCCATGTGGGTCCCTGTGTGTGCTTCTGGAGGCCAGAGGTCCACCGTCCAGGGAGCCCTCACTGAATCCTGGAGTTGAGGCTAGGCTGGCACGGATCCGCCTGTCCCTGCCTGCCAGCGCTGAGATTACAGTCCCACGCCATCACTCAGCTTTTTCCGTGGGTGCTAAGATTCGAACTCAGGTTCTCATGCTTTGCACATCAAGCACTTTATGACTGAGTCATCACCTCAGCCTCTTGTGGTTTTTTTTTTTGGCGGGGGGGAGTGTTCGGTTTTTGTTTTGTTTTCAGACAGGGTCTCACTATGTAGCCCTGGCTGTAGATTAAGCTGTCTCAAATTCACAGCGATCCACCTGCCTCTGCCTCCCACGTGCTGAGATTAAAGTGTTTCACCACCACACCTAGCCCGTTCTTTTTTTTTCAGACAGGGTCTCCGTATAGGCCCCTGGCTGGCCTGAACTCACTATGTAGACCAGGCAGGCCTCATAGAGATCTGCCAGCCTCTGTCTCTCGAGTGTGCACCACCATGCCCAGCCCTGCTCCACATCCTTGAATCTCGACCCCAGTCCGGCTTTGCTCCTCACTGGCAGTGGCCCCAGGGAAGCAGTTCCAGTCCTCAGTTCCACCAGACACCCACCTTGTCATACTTGGTGTGCAGCCACAGCAGGTAGTAGACCAGGCCTTGGTAGACAGCAAGTGAGTTATTGCTGTGGAAGCCCAAGGAATTCGTGACCAGCGGTGGCCGAGCTTGGTAGCGTTCCTGGCGTGAGTAGGCTTGTAGTTTGGGCAGGTCTCGGAGGCGCATCAGGGAAAATGGGCAGAGGTTGATGAAGGAGAGTGTCTTGTAGGCCCTGGAAGCAGGGGGATGGGGTGGGGTGATGTGGACTCTTTCACTCCTGGGTTATCAGGAGCTCCAAAGCCCTCAGTTCCCCTCTTCGCAGTGCTGGCTTCCCAAATCTAACACATATATTAGATTCAGCTCAGCCCCCTGCCTTGTGCTCAGAGGCCTGTGGTCACATCCTGTTGACTGTCCCTCAGGCCAGTGCTCGCTGGCCACCACTACCAATCTCCATTTGCTGTCTACTTGGCAGCACCCCACCCCCCCCACCCATGTCTGTTGCCCCGCCTCCACCTCCTGCTGCCTTCCTGGGTTGCACCCAGGTGGCCAGTTTGTTTTGTTTTGTTTTGGGCAGCAGCTCCCTGTAGTCCCAGCTGACCTGGAACTTGCTATGCTGACCTGAAGCTTGCTATGTAGATCAGGCTGGTCTCACAGATCTGCCTGCCTCTGCCTCCTGAGTGCTGGGATTAAAGGTATGTGCCACAATGCCTATGTAACCCATGCTGGCCTTGAACCCAAGATTTTCCTGCCTTCTCCCAAGTTCTGGGATTGCAGACATGCACCACCACCTGGGGAGTCTGTCAGTCCCTGAACTGCCAATCTTTCCTCTGCACTTTACCAAGTGTGGTTCTTCTATCTCAACACCCTTTCCCACCTCTTCCCTTGACTAATTCCTCCTCTCAGGTCACAGCTCCCCTCCTTCTTGGAGCCCTCCCTGATGCGCCCCCCCCCGCAGCTGTGCTAGGCTTCCTTTGACCTTCCCTCAGTTCTATGTATCCTTAGGGGTCACCAGGTCCCAGTCCTGGGCTGGGAGCTCCAGAACAGCTTTGTGGGCCCATCTTCTCACCCTTTCTGCTCTAATGAGTAAATGTTGTGTTGTTCATACATCAGCAACTTTTCCACTGGCACAAGCCTCTTGACCAGGCGTCCGCTTGGGGGGGGCTCCGGAAGATAGATCAACTGGGGTAGAGGGGCAGGCAGGCGAGCTGGTGGCTACCTTCCTGTGGCTCCTGTATCTGTCTCCTCCTACCCCACCAACCCCACCTGGTACCTGGTACAGCTGGCCATCCTCATAGAAGAGGCTGACCATGACCTCTTCCTTATTGTAGAGGGAAGACTGTTGCATCATTTGCAAGCTGACATGGATGTTCCAGCCTTTGGATGGGAATAGCCTGTACACGTTATAGCCACCCTCCAGGAAATACCAGATCTGGGGATCCAGCAGTACTGTGTGAGTGCAGGAGCTGATGCTCCAGGCTATGGGGGGAACATCACACCCAATCCCCTACTCCCTCCACCTTCCATCCCCTCATCCCCCACCCCACAGTGTCTCCTATCCTCTTTGAACTGCAGGATTCTGTTATAGGTAGGAATTCTACTGCCCCTATCTTAGGGGGTCCCTAAAGGTGTTTACCCTGACAGGGAAGAGGGTTTCAGGGTGAGCAGGGAGTGCATGGAGAAAGGAACAGGGTAGCCTACCTCATCTTTCTCTGTGACAAGAGCCATGTGTCCTTGGTAGGAGTTGACCATGTATTTGATGATGGAAGTGTTGGGGAAGTCTGCCAGATAGATGAAGTGTACCCTATTGTAGCTGCAGGACAGAGATAGGGATCTCTGAGCATGGAGACAGCCTGGTGTTCTGAACACCTGTTTCTCCCACTCCTACCCTAATACAGTATAAGACCAACTGCCTCTGTTCCTTTAATGACCTTGTAAACAAGGGGACTCTGTCATCCTAGCTTCAGCTCCCACCCCATACACTGGAGTGAACTTGTACCTTTTGAGTCCCCATATCCCCATCCCTGATTTTTTGGCCCAAAACCCCAGTAAGGATATTGTCCTAGAAATGAAGTGCTAATGATACGCTCTTTGAGCCCCTGGATCCAACTATGCCTGAAGCTGGAACTTGATTTTTCTATATATAAGTCAATTGATTCTTTGTTTAAATGATTTCACGGGGCAGGGGGGGTGTGTGTTGAGACAGGGTCTCACCATGTAGCCTTGTCTAGCCTGCAACTTGAGGAAATCTGCTTGCCTCTGCCTCCTGAGTGCTGGGATTAAAGGCATGTGCCACCATGCCCAGCCTGCTTAAATGATTTTTTAATTGAATGTCTTCTTTTGAAACCAAATGTGTCATGAGGGAGCAGTTTGCCAATTGCCCATGAGGGTGGCATGGGTTCCTGAGGGGTGGGAAGAGTCCTAGAGTGTCCCCAGAAAATGGCCTTCTATTGCTCATGTGTCCAGTCCACAAAGTTTCATTTTAAGGAAGCGCTCCTAGGGGCTGGAGAGATGGCTCAGAGGTTAAGAGCACTGACTGCTCTTGCAGAGGACCCAAGGTTTGAGTCCCAGCACCCACATGGAGGCTACGAACCATCCTTAACTCCAGTTCCAGGGGAATCTGAAGCCCTTTTCTGACCTCCGTGGCATTGCACGACATGGGTGCACTCACATATATCCAGGCAATACACTCATACACATAAAATTAAAATTAAATAAAAAGTGCTTATTCCTCTTGCAGAGCACCTGAATTCAGTTTCTAACACCCATGTCAAGTGGCTTACAACCACCTGTAACTCTAGCTCCAGGGAAATCTGATATCCTCTGCCTCCACAGACACCTGCACTCACATGCACATACTCGCACATACATATTAAAAACAATCTTTGCCAGGTGTGGTGGCACATGCTTTCAATCCTAGCACTTGGGAGGCAAAGGCAGATCTCTGTGAGCTCAAGGCCAGCCTGGAATACAGAGTGAGTTCCAGGGCAGCCTGGGTTACAGAGTGAGACGCTGTCTCAAGAGAAAATATATGTGTGGGTCCTCAGGGGGATGGTTTGTGCCTACCTCTGCATGAGGAAGTTACCCCAGATATACAGTATATTGTTGTACGTGTTGAAGAACAAGCCCTTGGGTGTCATGGCAGTGGTGGTAGCAGTCTCTGACCCGAGGAGCACCAGGAAATCCAAGCCCTGAGCTGACCACAGCAAAGGAGGAAGAAATACAATAGAGAGGCAGTGTCACCTGGGCTTCCTGACCCCTGCCCACCCCAGAGGCTGCTCCGCCTCTACCTCTGTCCCTACCTTCGGGAATGAATTGTGGCAGCGTGTAGAGGATGTCCAGTGCCTGGGAGGCTGCAGTGGGAAGACAGCAAAATCTCCTGAAACCCTGAGCTCTTAATGTCTCAAATTAGAGCAAGGTATCAGCTCCCCAACCCTCACATAAGACTGTTGGCAGAGGGGGCTGGAGAGGTGGCTCAGTGGTTAAGAGCACTGGCTGCTCTTCTAGAGGACCCTGGTTCACTTCCCAGCACCCACATGGTGGCTAACAACCATCTGTCAATTGTCCGTAACTCCAGTTCCAGGGAATCTGATGCCCTCTTGTGACCTCTACAGGTACTGTATGACATGGGTGCACTTACATATATGCAAGCAATACACTCATACACATAAAATAAAGAACAAAAAGAAACTTTTAAAAAGGGCTGTTGAGCCAGGTGTGGTGGCACATGCCTTTAATCCCAGGACTCGGGAGGCAGAGGCAGGCAGATCTCTGTGGGTCGATGGCCAGCCTGGTCTGCATAGCAAAGTTCCAGGCAAGCTGGAGCTACAGGGAGACCCTGTCTCAAGAAGACAAAAACAAAAAACAGGCAGAGGCAGGTAGATCTCTTGAGTTCAAGGCTAGCCTGATCAACACAGGGAGTTCCAGGCCAGCTGGAACTACACAGTGATATACTGTCACAAAAGAAAAGAAAGAAAAAGTTGCCAGGTATGGTAACATACACTTAGTTCAGCACTTGGGAGGCAGAGGCAGGTGGATCTCTGAGATTTCAGCCAGCTTAGTGTACACAGCAAGTTCCATACCAACTGGGGCTACAGGGAAACCCTATCTCAAAACAATGTTGGGGGGTTTTTGTTGTTTTTTTTT